TTTTTACCGAGGCCATCGAATGCCTTGACTCTGACCAAGACTTGAAGAAAATAGTCTGTTTGAGCAGGACTTGAGAATATGCTTTATTATTGATAAGCAATTCTGTTATAGCAAGCTTACTTGGATATAATGAAAGCCATAAGTGTTAAAAATTCCGCACCTTGTCTATCAGTTTCTCACGACTAAGGGAGTCCCAGGTGCCCCTTATCTTTAATGCACTTCAACCTCCACCAACATTAAAAGTAGCTCAGATTATCCAATACTAAGCACATTAACTGCTCGCCTTTAACTTCTCATTAGCAACCTACAGTAATAACAAAGCCCTAGGTCATTGCATCACATCAAACTCAGCACTTAAGTGAAAATTCTTTCTGAGACCATTTCTTCACTAAATCATTCGCTACACACATTAAACTAGTCTCAGATCATCCCTGACATGGTTACATTAATTATTTGCTAATATCGTGCCATATAGTGAGGCTTAGACATTTAATCTACTTAGTGCCTAGTCTACTCGGTATTGGTCTGTCATCGGTGATCCCCGTTGCTAATAACAGTCTAGCACAGGGTCTCAGGGTCCACCATCGATCGCTCCAGTCTAAAGTAGCCCTTAAGGGTTAAGGCTACCACATCATTCACATGTAATGATGTAAAATTGCGTGAGAGAAGAGTCCACTTGCAAATACATCCAGTTGGGTGGAATGAGACAATGTCTGCTTCGCTAATTGTATTGGGTTTAGACCGGGATTGTGAGGTTGCAGTTGTACCCTGTGGGGATGCAAGTAGAGTCATGAGCTTCAGCGGAGCGCTCTGAAGTGCCCCAAAATGGTAAAGGAACCTTTCGATGATAAACTCGCCTGTCATGCGTGCCATTCATAGGACTCTACTTTGTGGATTCTGACTTCCTGAAGATAAAAATACTAGTCACAGTGTGACCTCTTTATAGACTACTCGCCGTTTGTAAGGAGCTTGTTCTTGATTCAGTATTATCTGCTCTAAATAATATGTACAGAGAAAAGAATCCTGGGTCGGTAACAGCAAGAGACTACACACAGCATCTCTACTATAAACAGGGCCTTCGACAAAAATATACAGAGCCCTGGTTGCCTTGTATCTTCACTCCGAAATTGATCAAACGTGGTTGTGCCGCGCGTGGGATGCAATGCCAGGAGCAAGGCCGCTAGGCAACTATATTCTATCGTCCAAACTCCACCAACCACCAATCACGAAGAATCGCTCATTCTGAGCTTGACCTCAATAAGGTTAGGGACAAGCCTTCCGGAGGACAATGCACTGTATCCAATTGTTCAACAGCGATCGGGTGTGATATAATCCAGTCATTGACACGCCTGCTTCAGAAGTATCCGGCGGCCTGGAGATTTTACTTTGGCCAAGTCCGGCGCGACGCCACGCAGATTGCCTGAAACACGGGCTTGGTACTGTCCCGTCGATTCGGGATTCGAGTGTCTGTCAGGTTATGCGATGCTTCGGTCGTCTGTCCTGAGGCTGGCGAGGACACCGTTGTGTGGCCACGCATCCATCGGATATCATAAAGGTGTAGGTAGGATTGAGTATTGCAATAGGAAATGATCACAGCTCGTCCAATTCGTTGTTATCCTCGTAGGTTGTAGGGACTTGCTGTCGCTGGGATGCCTCTTGTATCTGTCTCTCTATGTCTCTTCGTCGTTGGGCTGCGCGGATGAGCGAGACCATGAACATCCGCATGACCAGTATGACTACCAAAACGGCGCAGAAAAACGTGATGCCTCGAACTAGCCCTTGTGAATGTGCAATTCTTCGATGATGACGGGTATGTCCGAATGGCATATGGCGCTGATCATTGCTGCGGTTGTTAGACGGACGCAAACAATAGCAAGGGGACGATGCTGCCTACAACATGAGCTGGCGGTTTGGAGCATATCTGACGGACGAATCATCGACATAGCGATGTTTTCTATCGGGCCCGTATTTTGGAGGAGAGGATGGATCTTGATTGGGATTGAAATTGAGCCATCGTTCGTAGTCAGTTGCAGGCCTTTCTCTGGTCCGTAGCTTGGATAGAGGCGGCATGATATTGATTGGCTTTTCTTGTTTTTGATTGATCAATGTCGATTGATGGTGGAGATGAATGGATAGATAGATTCAGTAGTGATACTGTGATAGAGAGTTGGTAGTCAAAAAGTGAACTCGTGGACACACAAGTGGTCCGCTGGATGAGCGCTTTCTTGATTATAACCTAGTCATTCCTACCAAAGCTATTCCATGACCATACCAAGGAGAGAGACTCAGGGTCGATGGACAGGTCCACAGGGACTAGGCTGCGATTTAAGGTGGAAAACACCACGCCAAGCTGAGACAAGGCTTCCCTTCGGTCGGTTAGGGGCTTAGGTCCAAGACGAACAAAATATCATCCATCTTTTAAACCATTCGGTTGAGCAGGCACAATGATTAATTCCATTCTCTCCGACATCTCTTCTTCGATTGAAGGACTCATGGTCTATATGAACTTCGCTCCAATGCTACCCCTCAGTTCTTTCCTGGCCTCCACCATCACTAGTTCCCCCTGGTCAGACGAGTTCAATTTTCCAAAGATTAATCCTACGCTACAGTATTAGTTCGTAATGGACTCACATTCGAGACTCCTTGGCAAACAGGCGGCCATAATAATTTGTTTGTAATGTCCTCTCGGCAAAAATAGCCTGCGTAAACTTTCCCATCATCCACCAGGCTCTCAGCTGCTGCCAAGGGAATCCCGCTGTCTGAAAAGGCTCCGCAACACGAATATGTCTCACTGTCACATTCAAATTTGACTCAGCCACGTGGGCTAATTATATTCTCCAGGGTCCGAAAATTCCGCCAGGTTTCGGACCGCTTAGTTGTCTTCCACGGTCTGTCATCCCTTCTATCTATTGTTTGGAAGCAGCCTCCATCTCATAACTGGCATACATGAAAGGTCCAGCGCCCTTATAATCATCCTGCACCACGGGAACAGAGATATAATACTAACAACCGTCAGCTCTTTTCCTTGAATCAGATATAGGCTCATACTCACCTCGAAGGTGCCGTTGCTGTTCAGACTGCCGACCTGCACTGTGCCAAGCCAATTCAGTGTGCCATTCGCATTCTTCTCCACGAACCTGTCCACCATGAGGCTGTACGCCTTCTTCGCGGGAGCCATATAGTCCTTGGAGCGGATGTATCCCTGCCGAATGCCCTTGAGGAATGCATACGTGAACATAGCGGTGCCGCTGCTCTCGATGTAGTTACGGGGATCACGCGGGTACTCTCCGTCCATGATGAGCCACCATCCGCCAGACTTGTCCTGTGTCTTCTTAAGGGCTTTCGCCAGGGACTGGAAACGACGCAGGTTCTTCTCATAGCCGGGATGCGACCGGGGCAGGTAGTCGAGTATGTCGACAAGCGACACGAAGTACCAGCCCACCGCGCGGTCCCAGACATGGGGTGCGCCGCCGGTAACAGGGTCTGACGGTGTCAGGATCATCCGGTGAGGTCAGGAAGTTCTGTCGGGAGACATACCAGCCCAGACTGCCACTTTACTCTCGTCATATCCGTGCACCAACAATCCGGTCGTCAACCGGCAGTGCTCCTCGATCAAATCAAACTGCAGCACGATGTCGTCCCAAGCGGTAGCATTGTTCGGCTGGAACCACGCGGTGTACTGCGCATAGAAGTTCTCCGCCATGTAAATCCCGTCCAGCCACATCTGATTCGGGTACGTGGGCTTGCGGTGCCAGAACCCACCTGCCTTGTTGCGTGGGGTGAAGTTAAGCTGCTCGCGGAGGGTATCAGCCGCAATCTTGTACCTGTCATCCCCCGTCTTGGTCCACAGCCAAAGGAGATTGAGGCCAATGCGGATGTCGTCAAGCGAGACGGTTGACCCGGGATAATTGATCAGCCCGCCGGAGGGGTCGACGACAGCATCGACTTGCGATTTGATGTAGGTGAAGTAGCGTTCGTCCTTCGTCTTATTATAGGCGAACTCCATACCGGTGTAGAGGACGCCATTGGCGTAGTTGCGGGACAGGGAGACATTCTTGGTCATGAAGGACGAAGCCATCCATTCCGTGTAGTTGGCCGCCTGGGAGAGGCCGCTCAGGGCCGCTACGAGCAGCGCGGATTTGCTGATTGAAATCATTCTGGTGTGGTACTATCTTACTCTATCACTTATACAATCCTGTAGGACGATGGATCGCAATCCTCTCGCTCTTATACCATGTTCCAAGAACTTCCAAGACATCCTAAGGACTGTTTACATTATCTCGGGCCGGAGACAGGAGAGCCAAGACCCCTACTCATACGGAGAAATGTCAAACGGAGAATTAGCTAGCCATCTTGGCATGGAGCATCCACCAGAGTGGTGGAGAAATATCAGGACTCTTCACAGGAATCGTCTGTCATAATATCTGAAGTGGAGATTGCGGGGTGCTGACAAAGAGGGAAAAAATAAAGAACAAAAAGAGTACTGACAAGAGTGGGATTCGAACCCACGCCATCATACGATGATGAGGAAACTCTAGGAGTTTAGTATTAAGGTGTACCTTAACCTCACGCCTTAGACCAACTCGGCCATCTTGCCTTGCGTGTTTGTATTGTCAGATATTATAATATAATAGAATAGCAACTCGATATTAACCGTTGTTGCTAGATATTTCTTCTACGCCAGTATACCGAGAATACCATTAAATGTGTATACCAAGAGAAAGGCCGTACCTTAGACTTAGACTCAGTGACATATCCCACTGACAAGGATATATCACTGGCCACTAGTAATGACGGTGCGCTAATAGTAATATAACCATCAGCCATCTCGTAAACCAATAATGAATAGCCAGTCGCAACATATATTTATTGCTGGGATCAGGCCGTCAGCAAACCAGGCAGCCATATTCCAGAACACATAACTTCGCCATCATTCATCTTCTATCGATCATCCTCTTCAAAGGTAGAGACAACATACAACAGACAACAGACGACACAAGATGACAAAACCACGTACTGAAACAACCCCAACATCCCCCACCATCACCCGCTCCACCACCACCAAAACAACCTTCACCAATCTCACCCCCGCAGACTCCATCTTCCGCTCCACACTGGAGAACACCTCCATCACCAAGACACCCGAGGCTACTAGCAGCATCGGCATCAAACGCAGCAAACTCCACGCCTGCACCCTCACCAACTCCTCCACCCGCCGCTCCACCCTCACCAAGACAACCCTGCTTAACGTCCCCGCAGCCCGCTCACTCGACGCAAGCGACTCCTCGCTATCGAATGTCCAGCGTCTCCGACGGAGCGAGATCCGCGCCAGCACGGTAAGCGATAGCGCGGTCCGGCGGAGCACGGTGGTGCACTCGACTGTGAGGCAGTCTCTCCTCCGGCGGAGCAAGTTAGACCGCGTTGCTTTGTTTCGGAGCCGGCTGAAGAGGGCGGTGCTGACGGACTGCGAGGTGAGCGAGTGTGTGGTTATCGGGACGGAGTTTAAGGGGATGAGGTTGAGGGGTGGGGTGTGGAAGGGTGGACGGTTGGTGGGGAAGGTTGGGGAGGGAGAGGTGGTTTTCGAGGAGATAGCGGTAGGTTTCTCTTTTCTTTTACTCAGGTGGTTGGGTATATGCTGATACTCTGAATAGAAGGGTAAGAAGGACAAGGAGGTCGCTGCTAATGATGTCATCCGTGATGCAAAGGTTGACAGATTTGATTACAAAATTCTAGAGGAGGAGAGCGAGTCGGAGGAGGATGATAAGTCCAGTGTGAGTGATGACGAGGCGGAGCTGCCGCCGCCGTATGCGCCTTGATTTGATATCAACTCATTCATGATTGAAATACATGATGTATGTACGTTTTATCCAGCAACAACATACTGCTTGTCCGTCTTCAACTTACTCAGGGTCTCGTTGTTAAACTTCAGCGTATCTGCCACAATCTGCCGCGGCGTAGATGCAATCCATTGCCCTAGTGCGATATCTGTATCCTCTTAGCATGACTCGGAGTCAGAGTGCAGATGGGGGAACCACGCACCAGTGAACTTGTCTGCCTGCAACACCTCAAGGAACAGCAGGTCCTCGTTCCCCGTGTTCTCGATATAGTGACTGTTCGACTGGGGAAAGTATCCGACATCCCCGGCGCGGTAGTCAAACGTCGTGGCCGTACTGGGTGCCGAGAACAGCGTTGCGCGGCCCTGGCCACGGATGAAGAAGGTCCACTCGTCGCTGCTCGGATGCCAGTGGATCTCGCGCATCCCGCCAGGCTTGACGGTCACGACGGCTGCAGCAAAGTTACTGGCGATGGGGAAGGTGGCAGGATCCACGATCTTGACTGATCCGCCGGCGACTTCGTGGGCGGGCTGCTCGGAGAAGTGGTACGAGTAGCTCTGCGTTCTGGGGACGAGGCCGGCTGCCGTCGAGACGTTTTGGGCCTCGATGTCCTTGGGGGCAGGGGTGCCGGGGAAGATGTACAGTTCGTCTTCGGGGAGGTTTTCGAATGCCGCGATGGGGACACCCAAGTCTTTGGCTAGGACTTCTTTCGGGTTGTGTGCAAAGACCTCTGAGGCGAGGAAGGTATTGTCCTCGGAGAAGGATCCGTCATCGAAGACGAGAAGGAACTCGACACCTGTGTCGAGGGCTTGGATGGAGTGAGGAACGCCCCTAGCCGGTCAGTATTGTTCATGACAGTGTGGATTGCGTGGCATACGGAGGGAAGAACCAGACATCACCCTCACTCACGTCGTCGATGAAAGTCTCCCCATTCTCGTTGACGGCCTGACGGTCAGCAACATCAATGAAAAGACGGATCCACATACCTGAATACGACAGGATCCATTGAGGACCAACGACCACTCCGCCGCGACATGCCAATGCAGCTCCCGATACGCACCGGGTTCAAGCCTCATGTTAACACCTGCCATGGCTGTTGCGTCCGGCATGACGTTGGTATTCTCCTGTCGGGCCCATCCGGCCCCATCGTGTCCGAGTCTAACTCATAAGCAACCCTCCTTCAAGCTGAGAGGGAAGGCCTACCTATTGTGACTGAGTCCTATGACAAGTTAGCATGGTCTACCATACCGTCATCAGGTAAGGACATACCCATCGGCCACTGCGCATTGATCGTCTGACCATGATCCGTCCCGGGAGGAGCCAGCTTATCGCTATTGATCTGATCATAGTAGGTATTCCCTGCGCTGTCAGCAGACTCACTCCATCAAGACAAGTCGCAAAACGAACATACTCGGTCCCGGATCCGTCCCTCCCAGATCTCCCCGGATAGGCTGGGGATTGTCCACGCCCTCAAAGTCAAGATACACCCCGTTATCGGCATCGTCCTTTTGCCCAGTCACCGGGGTATACTTGACCTCGGTCGACTGCTCCGAGATGGTATTGGAGGAGGAATAACCCAGCAGATCCTCCGAGCCTCTCAACGGAGGATTCGAAGGCTGAGCCGTGGGAGCTCCATTGGCCCAGGGGAGGACAAGAAGAAAAGCGTACAGAAAGTGGATTGTCTTCATTGTGGACTCTGCTGGTTTGGATCGAAGTCGAACCCATTGCATGGACTGACTCCCTTATATACCACAGTTCAGTGAGGAGAAGAACAGGGTCGAATTGACCAGAGTCTGTACCCCTCACCGAAGTAGACAGACGGATGCGCCCTGTCCAGTTGAGTCCAGTCCAGACATTGTCGATAGGCGCGCTTACCCCTCATGAGAGAAGATCCTCGGGGATGGTAGACAGGCAGAGGCCCAGTCTCGTGGGTGGGGGGGAAGGTGAGTGTTGCAGGCCAATGGGTCGCTTGAGGGGCGAGGTAGCCTGGAGAATCAAGAATGTGATAGTTGTGTAACCCTGCTGACACCAGTGGGACTATTCCTCATACCTAGGTTATGATAGAAGCATCAGTCGATACCTGCAGTACCAGTCAGTACTCTGTCCAGTTAGATCCACTACAGTATACCCATGTACTCAACAGCAGCACACATATCACCAAAGATACCATGAACCAAACACCTGGAATAAGTACAAATACTATCCATCTCATCCCATATCATACCATCAAATCAAGCAAACCAAGCCAGCCAAGCACCCAAGCCAAGCCGACGCATCCCATCCCATGCTAACCCTAACTCAGTCGGGAAACCTCCTCCGATACCGATCTCCAAATATAATTATACCCATGACCATAGTACCCGGTATAAAACCGCTCTCCACCTGCCCTGCACTACGGCCTGTACTTACCCAGCACATCACTGCATCCGTACTAATACTAGCCATACTCTAGCACTTTATACTGGAGCAATAATAACGCATATCCCCGCACGGCGAATCACATCACACCCGCTACCAAGAATAGATACACCCTTGCAGGATCCCCACTTCGCGTCGCGGTACTTCATTTTCCAGTTTCTGTGAGGTGACGTTGTCAGTATCCGGATAGCTACGGTATGAGGATGGAGACGATCATTGGCTATGATGTCCATTCTTAGATTGAAATGGGCGGTTGCGGTGGGTATGGTGTGGTACCCCGCATGAGGGCATTTTCCTGCTCTACAGTGTACGCGCAGAGGGAAATCAAGATGAGTTGAATGCTGGACATATATTGGGTGTACGTATGCTTTGATCCTTGGCGAGAAAGGCTAGGCTAGTCTGGTATGTGGTCACGCGCTAGGCATATACATTAATCAAGTTCCGTGTTTTGCTCGGTATTGATGGAATGACGTGAGTGGGTAGGTATAGCTGTAGTCTATGAACTAGATATGCTGTATATATGCAATGTCTATTGAACATCAAGTTAGAGCCGTCATATCTCATCGCCCGTCAGTCATTAAAGTGACCGCAGTGTCAGGAACACCCCTTTGGGACACGACAGCACTTCCGCGCCTCCTCGGGCATGGTCGTGTATATAACATCTCGCACCTCCTTACCCACCTGCTCCACTGCATCCATGGCCCATAGCACATCCAGATGCTCATACTCTTCAATGACCTTGGAATGTACAACCTGTACGTGCGGCTCCCGTCCGCTCCGAAGTCGTTGAAGGAGACGCCGCCCGTCGACCAGCGCATCAGACCCGGCAACCCACAGCGCAAACGGGGGCGTCTGCCGCCCGTACCAGGCGGTGTCGGTCCGCGGGCGCGCTTGGTCTCCGGCTCGTTGCAAACGGAGATCCTCCTCCATCTCGGCAAGGGTGTCTTTCATCGTGGCCAGGATGCACCGCTGCGTCGCGAAGCAGCCCTGACCCAACCACCACCGGATCGTCTCGCTGCTGATATACACCGGCGCGAATTGGAACATGCGATCGCGTAGTCCGCGATCCCAGCGGACGTCGGTCCAGCCGAACAGGTGCGCGAAGACATGATACCCCAAGGCTCCGTAGATGCGCGGATGGAGGAAGCGGTGGACGGTCATCATGAACGGGATGAATGCGTGGATGCCGAAAATAGTCCGGAACATGCCCGGCGGTATGACTCGCATGAATCGAAAGTAGAGTCTCTCGATCAAAGGTCCGGCATATACTGCCGGCGCGAGCGCACAGAATACAGATATTTTTTCTCCAAGCTCCGGGCGATGGTGTTTGGATAGCGCCACGAATGTCTGCGCGGTGCCTTGCGAGTGGCACACAAGCCCCAGCTTCTCAAACCCGGTCTCAAACAGCACCCGCGAAATAAGCGCGGCCAAGTCCAGCACACCCATCTGCCGGATGTTCCAAGTCCACATCCGCGGATCACCGGCCGACAGCGTTGTATGCTCCGGCGTCATTCCGCAGCGATTGTTCCCTAACCAGACATCGTACCCGGCTTTGCAAAGATAGAAAGCCAGACTGTCATCGTCATTCACACAGAATGCACCAGCACTCTGCAACAGTCCATGAACCAGCAGAACAGGATACTGGCGGTTTCGACTGGAACCATCCACCCTTCTCCGTCCGGTAAACACGTCAGGGCCTCGCGGCCGTCTCTCTTCTTCAGACAAAGGCGTATACTCCTGCGGGTTATACACATGCCACAGCGTGATGATGAACCCATCCTCCGTCTGGACTTTGAATGTCTCCACGTCGAGTCCCACCCGCCTCGCGTAATACCCAACATCACAAAGAAGCAAGTCCCTCCCGCCCTCCAAGGGCGGACACTCATCCGGCGCCTCCTCGTCAACATCCCTCTTCGCTTGCCGCCGTTTCCACCTCCTACGCTCCTTCTCTCGACTCAACTGCCGCTCGCGCTCCTCGGCATAAAATTTCCGCCGCGAGTTCGGATCTTCACCACGAATCCTCATCCGCAGATTATCCAGCTGCGTGCCAGCGAAGCCAACAAGCGCACCAACCACAACGATCCCCAGAAACAACAGCGACAAAACGGACGATACACACCGCAGCGCCACACAGCGCACCGTGAGCGCAAGCGAAGGCGGACTGTACGAGGGCAGCGGCGGGAACAGCGGATGCGCCGAAAGAGCAGCGTCGGGCCGGTACCGTTGCTGTGGCTGCGACTGCAATTGATTCTGCGTGTCCCCCAGGAGTCCGTCCGCCACCACTGCGGTCACGGCCGATTCGACCTTTTCGTCTTCGCGACTGGTCCGCAGGTTCCTGAGTTCCATGTCGGGACTGGAGCGGAGGAGGTTGCCTGTTGCTTTGGGAGTGGGGGGCCGGACGTCGATGGGGTCACTGTGGAGGAGAATCCTCGAGGGCCGATTGTGTATTGTAACGTCTTCATCTTCCTGTGTGGGTTCGAGACTGGCGCGCCGTTCTGCGATGCGTGATGCCATCAACATGGTGTCAGGGGGTAGTGGATGTAGTAAAGACTGGAAAAAGGCCT